GTCCCAGCCCCTTCACAGCCCATTAAGGTAGCCGATTAAGGCCTGGTTCTTTGCACCATTTCCTGGGAAATGTGGGTGTGCAAGATTCCACTCCCAGGTTCTTAACCTTGCTGGATGCTGGGAATTCTGTAGAATTCTCCGTGTGCTCTCTGATTGTCTGGTCAGAGTTTATTCCCAATCAGAGGACTTGGGATGAGATTTTTTTCATGAAGTATGGAGAGAGACATTATTATTGGAATCAGTTCCCTTTGTAAAGTAAAGAAATAGGGGTGTGTTGTTTATATATAGTCAAGCATTATAACAATGAAAGCTGACAAGCAAAGCTGCCAGTCATCTACCCACTGTTTGCATTTTTCTGGATTTACTGTCCATATACACACATACCTTACAAAATTCTAAGCGGAATGGACACTGTGTGTTCTGACTTGTTTGCCTAATACTATAATAATAAAGTTTCCTGTGTTGCAGCAGTCTCCACAATGAACAAAAATGGGGGGAGGGCAGTTCTAGAGCACTTTACCACTGAACTACATCCTTAGCCCTTTTTATTTTTATTTTTTCTTTTGAGACAGAGTCTAAGTTGCCCAGGCTGGCCTTGAACTAGTGATTCCCCAGCCTCAGCCTCCTGAGTAGCTGGAATTACACAGATGTGCCACCATGTGCAGCACAGTGAATATTGTAGTGGCCATTTATGTCCCCTCGGGAAGAACCACTGTTTAGATTTCCAGAAAGTTCCCTGGGTTTTATTGGCTTTTGGAAATTCATTCAGCAGATACCTGCTGAACATCTGTTGTAGTTCTTGGCCAGAGACAGCCAGGTGGTCAGGAGGTAACTGGCTGAGATATCCTTGGCCCTGCACTCCAGAGGCTCATGTCTTGTTTTTGGTTTTTTTTTTTTTGTGGTACTGGGGATCGAACTTGGGTCCTTTTGCTTTTGAGGCAGGCGGCGGAACCATTGAGCTAAATCCCCAGCCCCAGAGGCTTGTGTCTTGAACCAGTCACTTCCCTCTGGCTCTGTGCCTACGAACAGGGGGGCTGGTGGCATCTGGGTACCCAATTCCAGTTGAGGGAAAACAGGTAAAACCACTTTGTCATTAGTGGTGAGGAAGCTTAGGAACTCGGAGCTGGGAGAACTTTCTAGGTTCTTAGGAAGATCTTCACCCTGTTGCCTGTCACCCACCCTCTGTGCAGCAGTTACCAGGCCCAAGCCTGAAAACCCACAGGGAGAGAGGGGATTAAGGGACCTTGTCCGCGAGAAGGATCAGGAAGTGGCCCCTGGCCTCAGAGGGAACAAGGGGAGGAGGCGGTGTGGTCTCCCAAAGGTCCGCACGCCAAGGCCAGGCCTCTTGGCTGTGCTGTGGCTCCTGCCTCCCCCAGGATGGGGCAAGAGCTGTAGCAATAAGTTGCACCGGTTTAGTTTTCTTGTAAGGAGGAAGTTTCAGAATTCTAGCGGCTGCTTTTGAACAGATAGGTGTTTTTTTGAACATGTTTGTAGTGAGGGAATATTTGGGGAGTGGGGTCAGCTGGGTACAAGGGAAGGACAAGTGGTCAGGGGCTAGAAACTAGACTGCAAGGGTCTTGGCTCGGGTACTTTCTTTTACTTGAGAAATGGCTTCCTTGCCAGGCGTTGTGCTTTCCTCTTTCTGGCCCCTGCCGACCCCTGTTCCCCCATCCCTAGCTCCACCTCTGGTTGATCTAACCTGAAATCTGCTGCCTGGAAGATAGAGCAGTACCAGAGCTGTTTGTTGCTTGGAAAGGAGCCAAAAGCTTGTTGCCACCTGCTCCTCCAGGGGAACCAACAGGGCTGGGAGTGGGTCTAACTTGTGATGACAAGGACACTCATGAGTTTTACATGTTTTAGGCTTTGCCAACTTCTTTGTGCCCCTCTCCTGCCTGCAGTTAGGATTTGTACAGGCCTCTTGGTTTTGAGGTTTGTCATGGTTCTCAACCCCTTCTCTCTGCCCTGCCCCTGGCAAGTGCAAACAACAACCAGATCTAAACATTCACCTCAGATTCATTTTTTACATATTGATTTAAAATGGGTGGGATGGAGATATAGCCCAGTGATAGAGCGCTTGCTTAGCCTGCATCCTGGGTTCACTTTATTTGTGCTCCTGTTTAGTGACTGTAGGCTAAAGGTTATCTTTGAATTTATGCTATTTTAAATTATTTACTAGCTCTTATACCAGAAGAGGGAGAGGTGGATACAAGGAATAGAGAGAAAGTGGAAGAAGGACGTAGGGTGTGGGGAGGGATCGGTGATTTCAGAAGCGACAGATGAATTTAAATACCATATTCATCCAGTTTGTTTTTCCATTATAAATATGCATCAAGCTAGGAGTGGTAGCATGTGGCTAAAATCCCAGCAACTTTGGAGGCTGAGGCAGGAGGATCACAAGTTGAAGGCTAGCCTGAGACCCTGTGTCAAAATTAAAAAAAAAAAAAAGAGGGCTGGGGATGTAGTTTAGTGGTAGGGCACCTTCTTAGTTAGCATATTTGAGGCCCTAGGCTTGATCCCCAGTACTGCAGAAACCAACCAACCAACCAACCAACCAGACAACCCACCCCATCCAGGGCTGGTTATGTGCTAGAGACTTCCGTTGAATACCACTGAGGACCCTGCAGTTTGCGTCCTAGTGGGGGGCCAGCCAGCCATCCGCTCACTGGTGGTCAAGGTTAAGTACAGGCCAGGGAGCGCAGAAGTCAGGTGAGGGCAATGTGTGAGTTTTCTAGAGCTGCTGTAGCACAGCACCACACGTGGGCTTTCGAGAGCAGACGTTTATTTCCATGGCGCTGGACACTGGAAGTCCCGAGATCAGGGTGTGGCACGTTTGTTCCCTCTGTGGCCGCCCTTCTTGGCTTGCAAGCTGGCATCCCCTCTCGGTGTCCGCACATAGTCTCCCCCTGTGCATGTCTGGGTCCTGATCTCTTTCTCTAAGGTTACCAGGCCTGTTGGATTAGGGCGTACCCCAAGGAGTGCATTTTCATTTAATTACCTCTTTGACAGCCTCATTTCCAAATGTCACATTCTGAGGTACTGGGGTCAAGGCTTCAATATGAATTGGTGGGGGCACAATTCAGACTATAGTGGGGAGAAGTGAGTGTGTGTGTGTGTACGTTGAGAGAGAGAGACAGACAGACAGACATTTGAGACTGACTAATCCAGGAACATTTTGCTGCCTTCTTCAGCTCTGAGGGATGAGCCCTCCAGGACGCTGCTTGTGTTATAAAACCTGTGCTGTGTTCAGGCAGCGAAAAGCATGGAACACGCTCAGCACAGTGTGTAGTTCCTAAGGGACCCCAGTCGCTTTGGGCCTCCCCGGCCCTGACTCACCAGCACCTTTGTCTTCTGTGCCATCTCCTCGCTGTCTGCTCCCTGGCTCCTCTTCTGACCAAAGGCCTGCAGTGGCGGGGTTGCTTGTTCCCAGCTCTCAGGCTCTGCCTTCCGCCCAGTGCTCTGGAGCCTGGTGACCTTCCAGATGCCCCCTCCCCCCATGGGCCATAAACACTTTTGACACATCGAGGAGGATGACAGTGGTGCAGGACTACACAGATCGGGGTTGGGTGGCTGCAGGTGAAGCTTGCTCTGCTGAGTGTGCTGCCTGTCCGGCCGCTCCCACGGCACCCACTGCCCTGGCAGCCTCCCAGCTTCTCTGTGCTGGCTGATTTGCTGGCCCTGCATCCCCTACTAGACAGCTGCCACCAGGACTTGTGCACTGTGCTGGCCCCGGGTAGGCCCTTCACAGATGCTTGGGAAACAGAAGGTATTTGGACCTGAATGTGGGTCCAATAGACATTGGTTCAACTTCCAGCACCATCACTTGGCTGCCCGGTGCCCTTGGGTAAGTGGCTTCATTTCCTGGCACCATGAGGAGTAGGTGTCTACCGCCTGTGTAAGTAGGCAGGGGCTCCGGCCTGGCTGCCCTAGTTCCCATTTCCCACTTGCCAGCCCTTCGACCTTGGGCACATCTTATAAACCCCGTGCCTCAGTTTTCCTTATCTGTGGACTGAGAAAAAGAAGTGCCACTGAAGGGTTTTTATTTTCATAGTGAAGTTTAGCTTTATTGTTTATTGTACATTTTATTTATTTATGTACATTTTGCTTAACATGGTGACAGGGTATCTGTTTTTATCTATTAAAAATCTGTTTTAATCTTTTTTTTGAATTACTCTAAAGCTTGAAGTCACACCCAGGTTACTGCACTTGCAATCTTAAACTCTCGCGAGGCAGCAGTGCTGGTGTTCCCCTTTTATAGCAGGTAATGTTAAGACTCCCAAGAACTTCAGTGGCTAGCCCCAGGTCACAAGCGACAGGTCTAAGATCCTCTCCCTGCTCCTATTTCAGGCCAGTCATTTTCTGTTTCCCTTGCCTTTCCTGCCTTCTCATATGACTTAGTTGTACGGGGCGTATTTGTGAAACTGGGCTTTTGAGGACTTTGACAATTTTACTCGTAACTGTGCAGCAGTGGGCATTGAGCCCCAGTTCCTTGCTTGCCTATGACATGGGATGTAAAATCCAGTCCTCCCAGTTAATCTGTGTCCCACCAGGTAGCTGGCAGGTGAGGATGGGCAGGCAGGGGGAGTGTGGCCTGCCTAGTTCCTGCTGGGGAATCTGGCTTTTGCTTTTCCCCCTCAGCCTTCCCTGGCTGCCTCCTCCTAGCCCACCAGTGTGCTGTTCTCAGCCTGCCTTCTGCCCACAGCCGGCTTGCTGCCCTTGACTGTTTCCTGTCTCTGCCAGGGTGAGGAGGAGGAGGCGGTGGCTGTATAGCGCCAAGTGCTAAGGAAAAATGCCTCATTATACAATTAATTACTTGCTGCTGAGGCCGGTGGAATTCACACAGCCCCACCAGCACTCTCTGCTCCCTGCAACTGTCTCCATTCCTCCTGCTCTATCTCAGCCAGGTCCCTGGGCTTCTCCGGCTTCTGGGTAGAACCTCAAACCTCCTGTCAGAGAGGAAAAGATAGTGGCCTCCATATGATGCTGAGACAGATTATCTGACAGAGTCCCTCCTGCCATATAGTAATCGTGGTATCCTCAGATTGAGGACACTGGGGACCTCAGGCTGAGGGTGCTTCCAGGTGGCACAGCCCTATTCCTGTAGCTGCCACAGTGTCATAGACCTTGGAAGAGAGGCTGTAGGGCAGGGGTTTTCTCTAACCCTTTAAAACAAGTTCCAGGCTTCAGTTATCTTTAGGTTGAAATAGTGGACCCTCTCCCTCTCCCTCTCCCTCCAGCACCGCCCACCCCTTTTCTTACTTCTGGCTTTCAGACAAGAATGTGAAGAATGCAAACCTCTGTTGCAGACCTGAGCTGAGATCTGGGGCGGCCGAACTCTCTGGCCCTTCCTGGCCCTTCTGGGCTTTACTAGGCAGCTTTGTTGTGCTGGGGACCTGGGACATTCCTGATTGGTTGTGGTTGGTTGGGAGTCATGGACAACTCCAGGCTCATTAAATTTCTGGCTGTGGTGTGTGATCTCTCTGAGACTGCTGGGAGGGGCAGTGGGAGGGGTCCCCCCCATTTTAGAGAAATCAGGTTCAGAGGGGTTGGAAAGGGAAGTCTGCATTGGAGCTGGGGGTTGATGTCAGCCAGGAGGACCAACTCTTCTGCTTTGGCTGTGGGACTGGGAAGCTTGGAGACCTCTCTGCACTTGCCCCTTCTTACTGTATTGCAACTGCTGGTTACCAGGACCTACTAGGAGGCTTGCTGGATGCTTCCTGTGCATTTGCTGCCTCATTGTATCCTCTGAAGCAAGGAGTCACGTGGTTAGGCAGAGACCCCCCCCCAAGAGCACCGAGTGGTGTAGACACCACCAGCAGTTGTGTACACATTCTGGGCTTCAGGTTCCCCATCTGCAAAGCAGCATACCAGAAAAACCTACCTCATAGGGATACTATGGGTGATTACTCCAAAAGCACTCAGAACGAAGTGTTATGGCTCTTATTTAATTGTGCACACATGCTCCTACCGTCCTTTGAGGAGGCTTTCCTAAATCCTATTTTAGCAATAAAGAAATGATTAAATAATTCACCTAGATTCTTGCTAAATAGAGAATGCAGCGCTTATATACAGATTGGCTTGGCCCAGGAATGGCTCACATTTCTGCTCTGATCCCAGCATCCTCGGGGTGTGTGTGTACAGGCATCTGTGAGTACACAGGTCTCTGTGCACAGATCTCTGTATTCTGTATGTATATAGCTCTTTATTGAATGTCTTGGCGGGGTGAGCGGGTATAGGAATTGGGCCAGGCCAGGATGATGTGGCTGAATTTGTGTCTTCCTAGGGAAGGGGCTACTGCTTCTTCCTTCTGTCTTGTATAGCCCTTGCCACTTTGGAACCAGACTGCGGCTTGGACCCAGGAGCAGTGCTTGGTGGGTGGTAAAATACACAGCAGCCAGGTTTCTGGTGAAGGACATCATGAGGTCATCCCTGCCAGCCAGGCTCCCTGCTCCAGGACAGCTGGGATTGGCCAGGTTTCAGACAAGGGTGCTGTGCAGCTCACTCTAGGAACTGTAAGTTAATTTTTCTTGAAAGTGTGAAATGGCTTTCTTCACTCCATGGTTCATCTTCTCCAGGGAGGCAGGAGGCTCTGGGCTGCAGCTTGCCCACTCAGCTCTGAGCTGCAGCTTGCCCACTCAGCTCTGGAAAGCATGGTACTGTTCTTTATGTCTTCCTGTGCCCAGGGCTGGCACTGCGCTGGCTCAGTGAAGAATAGAACCAGGGGATGGAAAGGCAGGGAGAGGAGATAAACCCTGCCACTTTAGTTTCTTCTTGCTGGCATCCAGGGTGTTGAGGGGCTCCACAGCAGCCCAGGGGAATGAACTCCCTCCCTCCCTTTGCCACATGAACTCTTACCACTGGGTTATCCTGGTTGTAGCTCTGCCTCCTCAGACCTCTTCCTGAGACCTTCTCAGCTCTCTGGAGGGTAAGAATGGAGGTGATCCCTCTTCAGGTCTTTGTATGTTGCATTGGTGGGGAAGCAGGCTGTTCTGTGCCCCTGCCCTTTAAGCTTGGACCCAGGATTTCCCAGAAGTGCATCCCCTACACTTCAGGGTCTCTCTGAGCCCCTTATGATGGTGGGCAAAGGGTTTACAGCCTTTAACAAATTCTCAGAGGGGTCCTTAACCCCTGACCTAGAGATATGGAAACCTTGACTTTCCTACTTAAGAGTGTATGTGTATTTGTGTAGCATGCAGTCAAAGGGCCATCACTCCTAGGCACAGGGTCTGTTGGTTACAGAGTTAGATTACGCTGCTCTAGGGATATTAATAGCAGAACATTTTCCCCCAGCTCATCACTGCAGGGCAGTGGCCCTTTTTCTCCCATCTGATCTCTTTTCGAGTAAGCCCCTAATATCCCAGCACTTCTGGGCATCTCTTCAGCATGGGGCTGGGGCTAGAGATTAGAGTTGAGATGCTCTCATTATAGCCAGATTTGACCTCTCATTCTGGACTCTTCCTTCTGTCCTGTGGTATTTTGTCTAGATTCTTTTCTGCTTCCTAAAAGATGTTTCACAGGCCCCCTTATTTAAGCAAGTCACTTTGCCTCCGTGAGCCCCTGAATCTTAGTATATGTGCTGCCGAAGCGAGCATGAGCCCCTGAATCTTGTTAAGGAGAGGGACAGCATGGTGCCTGCCTGGGCTTTGTCCAGCTTGGCAGGAGCAAATGGTGTCCTGTCAACATTGGGACGACTGCGTCTAACAATGTCAGGTTCTGGGGTTGCTACAACTGCTGCCTTACCGGAGGCTGGACCCCCACAGAGATTCCTCTTTGGCTTTGGACTTGAGTTCTTCTTGGGCTAGCTCGTGAAGTGACCGTGGGCCAGTGGATGGTCTAGTTAAGTCTCTCCTGCCCAGTGAAGTTTGAGTCAAGCCGGTGTTTTCCACACTGTCAGCTAAGACTCAATGGCGGGTCGTGAAATTACTTTAGTGGGTGGCAATCAGTATTTTTAGAAACGAAATAAAATAGACTCAAGTAGAAAGTATCAGATCTTTCACCATGTATGCATCATTTTGTGAAGCTTTTGTTCAATATGTTTGCCTGTATTTGTGATAAAAAGTTTTAAAATTAAATATATGTATGTATATATGCAAATTTTGTCCTGGGTGAAATTTAGAAAAAAATTGGAGCTTCCAGGCTGAGATGGCTGTGGGTGCTTGTCACAGCCCTGACTTTGTGGGATTCCCTCCTGCAGGTCTGAGCTGAGCTGGGGCTCCCCTGGCTGCCAGTGCAGCGGAGCCTATAAATGGAGCCCTTGCAAGATCAAGCCTTTTGACTAAAGTTGTCGACCAAATTCTGGGAATCGAGCTGCATTCCTGGGGTGGAATAAATCATGTTGAGTTGGGTTAGGCAGGATGTGACTTCAAGCCCCTGAAGTGGGCTGTGAGGGCAGCGTCTGTGACTGACTCATTGTGAGCTCAGCCGTGACACAGGCAGACCATCTTGAGAGAAGGGGCCAAGGCTGGGGGAGGGCCCCGCTGCCCGTGGCGCCACCATGCACTGCTCCAGTGGCACGCTGAGTCCTCACAATGCTTCTTCGAGCTTGGAGGGGGCAAGGGTGAAGGGGACAGGGACAGCACCATCAGCGAGACCCCTGGGGGTGGGAGCTACTGCTTACCTGCACACTCACAGCCTTCTGGGGGTAGCTGGATTGTTTCCATTTCACAAGTAGAGAAACTGAGGCCCCGGCCCAGGTCAACCTGGCAGTGTGTGTCCTGATAAGTGGAGGGCCTGGGCTTCCGTGTTTAGCCTGCCAGCCCCCTTGTCCATTTCTTTCCAAGATACGGTACCTTCCGTGAAGCTCACGGGTAAATAACCATGTGGAGGATAAAGCTCATTTATAGAATCCACTTAAATGACTGTTTGATTAACCAGGAAGATTGTTTTTGATCCCGGCCAGTCCTGTGTCTCTCAGAAAGAAAACAGATGAGTGTACATCAGCTATAGCCAGCAGTACGGTAGAGGTGGGGTGCCGGTGATTGTGATCCTGGACAGCTGCAGAGGAGCCTTGGTCTGCGCAGGCCTTTGCCGTTTGTCCTGCCAAGGGAGAAACGAGCCACACAGTTGTCACACTGATGTTCAGGCAACAAGGTGTGGCATTATTTGGCTTAACATTAGTTACTTAAGAATGGGTGCTGGAGATTTTTTTTTTTCTTTTTGGTACCGGGGATCGAACTCAGGTCCTTGCGCTTGTGCAGCAGGTGGCGAAACCACTGAGCTAAATCCCTGGCCCATGGATGGTGGAGATTTTGTTGGACCCCATCCCTTGAGTTTGGACCTTTGGGAAGACTAGAGCTTTGGAAGTAGTTCCGTAATTTGTTTTTTAAAAGATTATTATTTAGGGGCTGGGGATGTAGCTTGGTGGTAGAACGCTTGCCTAGCATGCACCAGGCCCTGGGTGCAGGCCCAGCACTGCCTTCCCCCCAAAGTTACTATTTAAATACCACTAAGAGAATAACAAGCCTCTGAAGGTGTGGGGGTTCAGGGCTCGAGTGATGTTCACAAATCATCTTGTTCTGATCTTGGGTTGCTCTTCTCAGCAGTCATGATGTGGACTCTGAAAACCAGCATTCTGCACTTTCCCATCGAGACGGCGGTCATATAATTAAATCCTTTGAGTATGGTTATTTTTCTGTGTTGGGTTTCAGTTTTGCTCACATGCTTGAGGAAAGAAAAACCATCTATCAGCAGAACCAAAGGGAAGGAACAACTCCACTGCAGGAATCCAGAGGGCTCAAGTTGCCCCCGTTCATGTGTGGGCAGCTCCAAGCAGGCTCAGGGAAGGCTGTCTGCAGGAGGGCATGGTTGGCGTGCACAGGGAACAGTTCCACACATGAAACCAGCCGTGGTTCTCCTGTCAGCCTTTTCAAACCTGGGGGTGCGGGGAGGGATGTCTGCCCCTCGCTGCTCGGGAGGGGCGCCACCCCTGCCTGAAATAACTTGCTTCTTTTTGCAATTCTCCTAGGCGGCAGAGTGCAAGCTCATTATCCTGCAGGTGAGGTGCATGTGTGATCTCACTGCACAAACACTGAACCAATTAAAAGCAAAGCCAAGGTCCAGTGTAGATGCCTTATCTGTAGATCCAGCCCCAGGCCTGCCTGCCTGGCCTCTTCACTTTGCCCAAAAGCTGCCTAACCTGCTGTTGGTGCCCCCCTGCCCCCCGCCTTCCCCCACTCCCTTCCTCCCCAGACTTCCCAGAGACATTGGACTTAAGAGTTTAGGAGAGATTGCCCTGGGAATGGTTATTCTCTGCATTTTGAACAGTTCAGGTCCTTTCAACAGCACTGGTTGGAGGTCCTCTATGTGCAATGCCCTGGACTTCAAGGAGTTCTAGGGGACAGGGCAGAGAGGCAGAGGTTCTGGAGTGGGGCAGACTATGTTAGACCTGGAGAGTGGAGGAAGGGAGTTAGGAAAGGCTGCATGGGGGAGGTGACAGATACCTCTGGCTTTGGAGGGTCTCAGTCAGTGGAGGATCTGGGAGAAGGGCCGTCCAGCTTGTCTCCAGGGGACAGCATGAATAAAGCCCACACTGCAGAGTCAGCTCTGGTGGATAAGAGAGGGGCCACCTGGCTGAGACAGGGAGTGAGTGGGAGCTGAGAAGGCAGGAGAAGCATCAGGCAAGGGGCTTGACATGCTGCATGGCCACGGGGGCAGCTTCTGCAGGCCGGGTGGGCTGCAGGGCTCTCTTCAGGCTCCCATTGTTTTCGCCCCTGACTGAAGAATTCATTCAAGTTTCTGTGCTGAAACTTTCTGTCCCAAAGCCACGCATTGGAGTCCTTGAGATTGGTGTTTTAGTGGAGGGGACCCAGTTGGACAATTTACTGCCATAGTCTGAGACACATGATATGTGAGATTTGGGCCCAGGAAGCTCTGGAAACACTGGCCCGAGAGCTCCTGGGGTGCAGCTACTTCTCACTAGGGCGGAAAGGACCTGGTGGGACTTGGGCTCTGCTGGGCCTCCCTGAGCAGGCTGTCTGGAGCCAGAGGTCAAACCCTTTCTACCTGGCAGAGGCAGGGAGCTACCTTCCCACCTTAGGTTGGAAGTGCCCTCTTCCCTGGTCCCTGGGACTTTCCAACTGCTGGCCTCTCACTGTCCCCTGCAGTGGAGGTCAGGGAGGGTAAACTCTTTAAAATACAGATCTGATGATGTCACCCTTCCCTACTTCTCCATTGTCCCTACAGTCCACATTCATAGATGGCTGTTAAGATCCTGGATGAACTGTCCCTACATCCCTTTAACATAGGAACAGGGAGTCTAAACATAAAATTCTGGTGTCTTTAGTATTTTTAAATTGATAGATAAAAATTGTATGTGCTTATCATGTATAACATGATGTTTGGAGATGACTGCTGTTGTCCTTTTCGGTGGTCTGGGCTTTGCTAGGTGCAAGGCAAAGTAAAAACAACTGCAGGTCCATCTTTGCTTAGGCAGGCCAATGCCAGCTTGTCCCAGTACTCCCTGGGGCCATGAAGGGCCTCTGCAGCCTTTGAGGAGGGAGGGGCAGCTGGGATGGGCTTGGGCCTCTGGTGCTAAATTCCTCTCCAGCCTTTCTCTGGTCTGGTTTCCTTATCTGCTCAGCATCAACTGGGACTTGGGTTGGAAGACTGCTAATGGAAACAAGTCCCGGCTTCTTCTGTAAGCAAACAACATTCCTGAGGAGGAGGGGGGAAGGGGCCCATCCACAGTCCTTCCATTCCTCAGCAGCTTCTACCTTCTGGGCTCTGGACAGCCAGGAGGAGCCTCCCCGCTATTCACAGGTGGAGGATAGGCCGCTGTAGGGTTGGCTCTGAGGGCAGTGGGGCTACTTGCCTGGCCCTCCCTTAGAGAACTGCTCTTGGGCCTGGTGTTCATCAGTCTTGGAGCCCTGGACTCGAGTATATTGTTTGAGCCCCATAGCAGCCCCTGCCTGTAGGTAGGATATCTTTTGGGTGAGAAAATGAGACCTGGGAGGTTAGGGGACAGCTGGTTATGCCAGACTCAACCCAGCTCTTGTGGCACAGGTCTTGTGCATATCCCGTCAGACCAGCTTTGAGAAGTGTTTTCTTTTCTGCAGGATGTGCCTGGGTGCCAGGCCTAACTGGCTGGAGTTGGATAGGCTCCTAACTGAGCCTCTCAGAACCTTTGTGTGCATTCTGCTCAAGAAAGGGGGCCAAGGCACAGCACGTCGCTGTCCCCTGGGGCTGAGTGGAAGGAACCTGTAGAGCCTTGAACGGCAGCAACTTCACAGGCTCCAGGTGTGGCTCCTAGGAAGGAGGGGAAGTCTTTAGGTCAGGTGGTCGAGGTGGGGCAGTGGAAGTGTCAGGTTCTGGGCTGGGAACTTGAGGTACTGCTCTTCCCATGGGTGGCACTTTTTTCTCATTTTAAAGCTAAGAACTTAGGAACTTGAGGTGCTGATAGCTACAATACCGCAGGACTTGTGAGCAGAGGTCGTGGAACTCAAACTCTGGTCTTCCTGGCCCAAAGCCATGCCCATTCCAGCCCATGATGGTGCATTACAAGCATTTACCTTGGGATTTGCAGAACTGATGTCTTGGTTCTGAGTTGATAGTGAAGGCTGGAAGCTGGGTCACTTGCTGGGCAGATGCAGGCTGTCACTCTAGGAAGGCCACAGCCTTCTCATGGCACCCCAATGGGAGCAGAGGCCCCCCCAGCCTCTGTTATGTCCTTGCTGGTGTGTTGGTCTGTGGTAGGTGGCAGGGGCCTCCACCTTGGTAAATCAGGATGCCAAGGTGTGAAAGCTGAGGTGGTTCAACCTTATGGAGAGCTGGGTGGAGGCCAAGAAGTTATTTCTCTTTGTAGAATGAAAGCCCCAATCTACTTTCTTTTCCCTTTTGTTTTGAGGATATACAGATTAAGTGACTGCCCCTCACCTGGGGTTTCACCTGAATCTCTTTGCTTCCTTTGGCCCTAACTCTGACTCTCTGCATAGCCCAAGGGGATTTGCCAGCCTCTTAGAAACCTTCCCCATTCGCTCCTTCCTCATCTTTGCCTTGTTGCTTGCTCATTTGCTCATTCATTTCTGAAGCTTCAGCTGGACCTGAGGGTGCAGAATGACATCATTTAAGGCATTGTCACTGATGTCCCAGTGTGCCCCAGAGTATGCTTTGCTCCTCATCACGCCAGATGAGGCTGAGGGGAGGATTGAATATAAACAGCTGTGTTTATGAAATCAGAATCATGCTCACGAAGGTGAACAGTGAAGGACATGGTGATCCCCGTCACTGATGATTTGCTCCTGGGAATTCACAAAGGGATTTCCTGGACCAGGCATTGTGCTTTGATATTTGGCATTGAGATGATTGAGGCTGATGCCTGTCCTGAAATAAAAACTGCAAGTAATTACGATTCGGCTGTTTGGGGATTATGGTAGAGAGGAGGCGAGGGGTAGGTGGGAAATTCTTTCGCCATGGTGAGGAAGGGCCTCACAGAGAAGGGAGTGTTGGAGCCAAGATCTGAGAGAGCTTCTGGGAAGCCCTGGGGTCCTGAGCAGAGTTGGGATGTGAGCAGGCTGGGTCAGCATCCCAGTGGTGCAGCCGTGGAGCCTGAGACTAATCCTGACTGGTCAGAAATATTTGCTAAATAGCATTTGATGCAAAGCCAGGATGAGGTGAACTGGTATATCCTGGGTGAAATCCCTGACCCCCACTCCTCCACGTGGCTGCCACCTGTGTTCCATTACTCACCTGGACGCTTAGGTGCTGGGCACTTTAGGCTGAGCTGCTGTGTTGGAGGTCCTTAACCCCTGACCATCGCCTGCCTGGGGAGGCCACAGCCTGGTTTACATTGGGATAATTAGGATATTTATTTATTTGCCATGCTGGAGGTCAGACTCAGGGTCTCACACAAGTGCTGTGCTAGTGAGCTAAGATCTCCTAGCTCCTAGGATCTTTAAAGAACAGTCCACTAGGTAAATCTTGGTCAGATCCCTTAAAATCCAGTCTCCTACAAGGGACAGTCTTTTCTTGAGGGACCTCCTTGATGTGCCATCCATACTGGTCATGTTTGGGTCTTGGAGTTTGTTTTATTCAGAAGATTTGGCCTGGGTCCTCCAGAGCTGGGAGAGGGTTTATGTAGCAGG